TCACAATATGTACTGGTAACCTAAACCTAGTCACATACATTACGTATAACAAATTCAATTAGTCACATCCAATAAACATATTCACAACTCATAAATTATTAGTCCATCGTAGAATAAAATCGAAATTTCATATCAATAAGACATTATACAAAACAAAGTTCAAAATTCTGTCAATACAATTCCCCTGCAACAACTCTTAATACTTCCATCTTGGCATTTGCATAAATCATAAGAACCAAACTAGGACAACGTGCCTGTTCACTCATGGGGCTCGCCAGAACTTCCTGGCAAATAGGACTTCATTTGGTTCTACCTAGTAATTTAGAATAAAAATGAATCAAAAGCTAGAATATTAATCATTGTCCAATGAATGAAATTCAGAATTCGATTTGGTCAATTTTGTTGCCACACGGTGATTTAGTGGAGAATTATGGTGATTTAGGAGAGAATTTGGGAATCAGGACTTTAGAGAGAGAAATATGATGTTTGACTATAAATGGAGAGTAGTAAAAATCTTTTATATATAGAATAAGTCCTAATCTTGAGAATTTGACTTGAGTCTAATTTATTCTATTTTAAATTATATTATTTTTATATTATATTTATATATGATATCACCTGAATTTTGAAAGTATTTTTAAAGATTGTTAGTTATGAAATGCTATTCTTGTAGTCAAGTAGTTATGTATTTTACCCCCATTTTTTTTTTTTCATCTTCTTTTCTTGACAAGGCCCATATCCAATCCAATCCTAACAGGTAACAAATTTCTCTAAAACCCTAATATTCATTTTCCAATAACGTCTTTCCACTACCCAACCATCCCTTCCCCTCTTCTCAACACACGCACACACAAATGGGTCATCTTTCTACTTCCCAACCCTAATAGGACTTTGGCGAACGCAATGGCTTCCTAAAGGGGGGTAGTGAGTGAAATCATCCATGTCCCAAGCCGTGGTGCTCCTCTTGCTCGTGATACCTTCCGATACCAGCACCAAAAGGAGCTTTTCGTCGCCATTGAAGGAATCTAAACAAATTCATTTTTATATTCTCCTTTGCTTCCAACTATGCGTGTTATAAATTTTTGATGAGGTCATGAAGATAATTAAGTCTTTTTCTTAAATGACACGTTATAGTTATTGATTAGCATGTTTAACCAACTTTGTTACATTTTTCACGTCTTATTGACCATGCCACATGTACTTCAATAACGATTTTTGCTGATGTACAATAACATGTGAAAACAAATAAAAATATTATCAGTTCTTCAATAATTTTGCACTCATACGTCCCGTGTGCACATAGTTTGTATTCAAGATCCAGTTTATGACTTCGTATTATAAATGTTAATTGATAGTGAGCTAAATTCGCACATAATCTGAACTTATTAGAAATGTTTGTTAATAGTTGCAAAAGATCGCGTATAACAAGCTCAAAACTGTATCACAAGTGACGGTTAAATTAATTGATAACATAGAACATTGTGAATATCGAAAACTTGACTTAAGATTGTTATGACTTAAGGTTATAAAATAAAAATAAAAATAAAAATAAAAAAAATTTGGACGAGTGCAAGGAAAAAATACGTATCAATCTCTGTTACAAAATTCAAAACATAAATCCAGTGTCCTTTGATAGGATTGTGCAACAAAAATATTCAATGAAACGCAACCAGTAACCCATTTCATAATTAATTTTACAAAAATAATAAACAATTGACTAATACCTATTATTATTATTATTACTACTATTATTATTATTATTATTTTGGAAATTAAGATTTTGATGACACCTAGCCGTCAATGGTAGTTGTAATGTCAAATGTTGGATGAAATTGAGTGCTTTCATTTTCAACCCCAAACATATCTATCATGTATAATGAACGGTAAGTAAGAATTCAATGTCTCAAATAATATTTGTTTAGTTCGGCTCTAAACTTAACCGGACAGAGACGGAAAAATCCATAAGAACTGAGATCATAGTTGAACCGGAGATTCGAAACCAACTTCAACATCGAGTAGCAAAGATGTCTCAAACACTAGGTGCACTTGTAAATCTTACTAAACATGCATGACATATGATACAAGAGACTTGCAAGGAATGAACTTAATGCAACAAATATCACCAACATAGAAACATTTATCAGAATAATATTTTTGTAAGAATTAATATTTCTCAAAAATATTTTATACTCGAAACAACAGGGGAAAGCTTCGGAATTTCATTATCCAACCCCAAGATTAAAAGATCAAAGTATCCTACCCTAGTCAATGAACCATTTATTTAAAATACCTAGGATAGAGTTCTTTGTATCAGAATTATGCAATTTTACATCACTTTAATTTTCCTGTTCTCTCTTCCTGTTTAATTGGGCCATCTATTTCATTAAGACTGGAAGAGGGGTTCTGAATCCCTTTAGATTGACGTCACAAATTCCACCCCCAAAACCATATTCTGTTAGATAATCATAGTCTCATTATTAGATAATATAAAAGGAAATATAGAACTGACGGTTCATCTCTTCTGTGAATAATTTTCTAACTTACTTCAAAGACAAATTTACTACTTTCAGGAATGGAAATCAAAAATCCATAAAATACAGAATCCTTGATTAACCACAACCAAAGATCAAATACATAAATACTGACTTAATACAGATGAATTAAGGATGAAAAATAAATTGTCCATAAAGAAATCATATATTATGTAGTTCAATCCACCAGTGGATCGTTTTACTTTCCATGGGGGGAGTTCAAGAATTGTCTTTTACCTTTATAAATTTCAAATTTTCAATCAACTGCGAAGAAAAGGTTACAACACACAATAGTGAGCAGAAAACAAAACAATAGAAATCTAGAATCATGCCAAACACATTAGAAGTAACTAATTCTATTGACAACCCCAATTTCTGAAATGTGTTCAAAAGGCAGATATCTCACAAAATCATACAAAGTAGGCCATAAACAATAAGCCAATACCAATAAATGAAAAAAATATCCAGAACTTACAGGTAAAACTTTCACAGAATATTTTGTGATATTTGGATCGACGACTTTTCCTTGATTAGCTGCCTGCACAACAATAACTATGAACCATTAAGTAGGAGTCCCAAAAATCTAAATGTATGAGGGGATACAATGTAAAAACGACAGGAAAACAGCATCCATAAAGCTAAAAGACATCTAGCTCACTTTTTTCTGCCAGTAAAGGTGTGATAAAAATCAGAGATGCAAACAATGATAAATATTAAGTGTCATCAAAGTTCAAGTATGAGGAGGAGAGAGTAAAAGGAAATAATAAAACTAACAATTATACATTCACCGCCACAAGACTCACAAAACATTAGTACCAAGAATAAGGCTGCAAGGAAAATTACCAGCAAGTTATGGCAAAACTGTATGTACAACCATTAAAACTCATTTCAGATACAACAATCTTATCCTAAGGCATATAATAAGGAGTTCAGTTTCCCTTATAGTTGACATCATATGACAACCCAATCACATTGGTTTTGTCTGTACAACCATGCCTTTTTTTTTTTTAATGAAAGATTAAGAATGAAAAAAACCAAAGAACAAAAATCTTCACATGAATGCCAGTTTTGGAATACACAGGATACCACAATTCTGTGCTATATTTGTCCTCGAAGGAGAACGTAAAGGAAAACTAGTATATCACTCTAACACCAATGGAAAATAACTACAAGTTACTAACTCCCTACACCACTGCATGCAACCAACAATATTCATACTACAACAAGATCTATGAATGGTTCTTCCTCAAGTGCACCATATCACCATCTTTACAATTAAATGGCTTCAGACAAATTTTTTTGTCTTCATTTATAAGATTTTACATAAAGAATGCATATTCAGTGATCATAGAAATTGACTCCTATTCTTTATGCTTCCACTCAGAATTTGTTATTTTTCATTATAATTAAGCTTTGTTTGGATTATGTTGGGGAAAGTCCTCCATAATTCACTATCCACAAGGAGAGACTCAGTTATGATTAAATAAATCAGTCACAAACTATGCAGCCAAATTATTGTTCTCAAATGGTTCTGATAAATATTAGAACAATTTGCTTCTTACAAAAAGGAAAATTAAATTTAGAGTGACCTCGCATGTAGAATTTGGACTGCATGAAAATGTTGTCTGATCAGAATTACAGTGCAGAGGCATTAACATATTATAGGCTACGACAAACCAAACTTACCTGTTCTGGGCTGTGAAATATTTCTACAAATGGGTATTCCTTCTTCTGCCGTGTTATGCAAAATCCAGGATATTTTGGGCACTCAACCTAAACAACCAGCACAAGAACCAAAATAGGTGAGGACAACAAAGAATGTTAATGTGAATTAAAGACGCTACATCAATAAAATAAGAGAAGACGCTTCATTTATACAATAAGAGGTATTCTGTGGTTTATATCATTAGAGCTGTTAAAGATGCATATACTCTTTGATGTACTTTTCAGACAAGAAACTCAAAGAATGTACAGAAATACCTAGACACTCTCTTGTACATGTGAAAGAATGCAGACAAAGACAAGAGGGATACATAGGAAACATAGAACGATGAAAATTACAGTGTGAAGCACAGAATCAATGATTAAAAAATCACATTTTTATGCATAAAAACCTATATAAGGAAAAATGTGACTATCTAAAATTTAGTTTTCCAGAATGTAGCATCCAGACGAGGTAACTTACACGCATAAACTTTACATGTGGATAAAACTCGGCTGCAGCTTCTTCCATTACTTTGTCAAGATGTTTTGTGTGCCTGCAGCAGTAAAAAATATTGATATTTGAGGAATCATTATGACAACTAATGAAAATTCGAAAGAAAGGAAGAATTAAATATTCCAAATTACTTGATGGTAAATGCAACAACCACAGGGTGACCTTCATGTAGAAGCTGCATAAACTCGCGCTCTGACGAGAAAGGAATAACTCGCGATGGTCCAAGATCCTTAGGGTAGCCAGTATAATACCTTTAAAAATTTAAAGAAAAGCAAGCGAAAGAGGTTAAAAGGAGGACCAAGTAAACTGAAAAAGCCCAAATATACTGTAATTTCAAAGCTAATGAATCAGTTTCCATCTCATTATGAAATGCATCACATCAAACACTGGAGAACTAAAGAAGAATCATATGCCCCCAGAAGCTACAGGATTGACCTGAACATATAAATTTATACAAATTTCCATGCAAATGCCTTCAAGATACAGTACAAAATTTCACATATCAAAATGATCATTACAACATTGCACCAAGCAAAATCAATTCGAATAATGTTTATGACGCAACAAGGGAAAAAGAACTGAAGTTGTAGTTCACAATTGTATACAGTTATCAAGCTTGCAATAGGTACTACAAAAAAAATTATGCAGAACGAGCACATCCTACAAAATCAGTACAAATACATGTATACATTGATTGGGAGGGTGACTGTCTAGGCACATACATGTCAAAGTGTTTTAACATACTTGCAGGTTGCACGAAGATTAAGTAGCATTCTGTTGAAAAATGATGACTCCTCCATTGTGCAGAACTTAGAAACAGTGGGGAGAATCTTGCTTTCTGAGTAAACCTGCTGTTGTATCAAGAGATCAAATGCATTAATTTGAATAAATTAAAAATCAAATGAAAAAATTGAAGCTCCTGAATAACTTATGCAAAGTTATGAAGTACTTTACCAAAGTATCGAAAAGAAAACTCACTTTCCGATAATATTTACGTAGTTGGGTTTAAGAGAGATCCATGGCAACAATTAAAAAAGGAAAAATAATTAAATAAGTACTGTAAATTATGAACCCATACATCCTATGAACCTTCACGAATTATTCTTTATAACCCTAACAGATTTCAGTTTGAAAACACTCAACCGTTTTATCAAAACAATGAGAAGTTAAAGGTCAAATAACTAAGCAAGCCCACCACAAGAAAACAAGATTTACTCACCTTAAATAATTTATAAGCAATCTTCTTTAGTCAAGTATGAAATAGGGATTTCCTCTGATGGTAATCACTAAAATCTAAGTCGAATTACGCATTCCCATATCCATTTACACTATACACACGAGAGACATTAGGAGCATAGGATACAGTCGCTCGCTCAGTAGAGTACAGGACGGAGAGGTGCAACAATTCTTAGTCTGTGATCAAGTAAAAGGAGTCATTAAATCAAGTGACGGTCAAGGCGGGCGGCTCCCCCATTTCAAAGTTTCTACATGTATGTAATGAAGAAGAGCAGCCCAGAGTGGAAAAGGAGGTCAACAATCCTGCACCAGCCAGTTGGGGAAGAAAAGGAATTATAAACAAACGGCTCCAACCGAAATTCGAAATTGAGAAAGACACCATTTCAACTTAGAATTAATTGTAATAAGTGTATCACGTTTTTCTTTCTAGCAAAACACCTTTTTTTTTTTTTCCCTTTTACCGTATTTAGCAAACCAAAGGTTAGGAACGGATTCAGTTGGATTGTCAGAATTTTATATCTCTTTCTCCTCCCCAATTCTCTGCAATCTCACTCTTTCTTCTTTATTGTAATTCAGGTTTGGTTCAATCAATATAGCTACAGCTTGGATAGGGATGTGGAAGATATGGGGGAGACCTTTAAAAATGTGGGTATGAAAGATGAAAGTTCATATCAGACTTTGCATAATCTATGCAGCAAACAGGATTGGATGGAGTTGTTGATGACAGAGATGAACATTAAGTATGAATCCATAGTAGCCATGATGGCAAACTGGAATGGACAAAAGGGAGAATCCAAAGACAAACAGAAGGTAGGATACTGTATGCAATCCACAATCAGTGAAGGAATACTCGAACCAAAAATGGGAATAACACCTGGGACCAGTGGTGACAAGAGTGACATGAGGATGGGGGTTAAGTTACCCAAAATTGATTTCCCATATTTCAATGGAGAAGGCCCTAGGGTGTGGCTGGAAAAGGCACAAAAATACTTTCAAATCCACCAAGTCCCTGATGAAGTTAGAATTAGTATTGCAGAAATGTATCTGAAGGGAAGAGCAGATGTGTGGTTTCATGGGTTCATCAATAGCAACCCTATGGCAGATTGGAGTTTCTTTTCAGAGGAGATTTGCAGAAGGTTTGCTGAATCTACAGCAGAGGAAGTTATTGAAGTCTTCAGTAAAATTAGGCAGAAATGAAGTGTGGCTGAAAATCAGGAATTATTTGAAAATCTAAAATCCCAGGTTATGCTTTCATTACCCCATATTCCAGAGTCATACTATATCTCTATGTTATCTCTATATTTACCTGTGGGTTGAAAGAGGAGATCAAGTCCATGGTTAAAATTTTGAGACGGAATTCTATATCCCAAGCCTTTGAGATAGCCCTTTTGCAAGAAAACACAATTACAACCTTTTGACAATTTCGACATGGACAGTGAACCTCACTATTCTCGTCCAGACATTGTTTTGCTACCTCCATAAATAAATTAACACCATCTTAATATTCTTCACTTAATCTCTTACAAAATCGTGTCGAACTTCTATCCATCATGTATATCACTTTATTCACATAGATCATACCAAAGAGGATATGTAGTTAGTAATTTTTAGAAAAATAGTAAATAAACAAGCAAGAAAATAATAGCAGTCTAGGCAAATGTATCCATATCTAAATATAAAACAACAATCCCCTCCAAGCAATACAAAGGAAGTTATATAAAGACAATAACTACTCATTTGAGTTTCTCGTCTCTCTTTAGAAGAATTAAACACAGACTTCCAGAAATAGAATCAGTAACTCAATTAAACACAGACTTCCAGAACAGAGCAACACATGATACTAGAATTGTTTGGAAAAAGTATGTAAATGCTATAAGAACAAAAACAATGATAAGATGATAGCAGTCTGGCAGATGTATCCATAAGCATCAAATCTTGACTAAAATCATCAACTACACATTAGCATGAAGAATGAAACGCAGACTTCCAGAAATACAAATCAGCAAATACACATAAGCATGAGTGTTAATTAACCCAGCAATAACTCAATTAATAAACAACCAAATAATAATTTAGAAGCAAATAAATTAACAAGAAACACATATACTATCTACACAACAGTACGAGACGGAATACCTTAGTTGAAGCTTGTCAAAAAAGTGGATCCACTACTCCTCCCAGATTGTTGTGGTATTTAGCACCTGTGGAACGTAGTTATGAAGAGCAATTCTAGAATTGGCAATGGACTAAAATCAAAAGTTTCATACTGAATCCAGATCTAGTATTTGAAAATATCGAGGAAATTGTTCAGTGCAATTCATCGAACGAAAAGGTTCTAACGCGTCCTGTTCGTCAACCGTAAATTATAGGCTTACACCAATCAAAGAGGTCAGATAACAGTAGATTAAATCGCCTTCTCTGCAATCGACTTCTCTGGTGGAGTTTTGCACAAAAATCTGGACGGTTTTTGCCTCCAATTGCACCATAAAGTTCTCCTTCTCCAATTGCAGGCCGTCCTTTCGTTCATCTGTCTATGGCTGCCGCTTGTACAGAGGAAATGGTGGCAGATAGCACAAAGAGACATTTTTTCAAAATGGCAGCCGACTGCTGTTTAAAAAAAAAAATTGAAAAATCCCCAAAAATCTTAAAAACAATGAAAATTCAATATTGTTCCTAACGAATCACTTTTAAATCGAAGTCCGGAGAAAGAAAAGGAAAAAATAGTAAGGAAACCGACGACTTTTTCTTCGAAGGAGATTGACCGACCGACCACTATTAGATTACATGTTGAACTTGGATGTTGAAGGTTTATTTTGTTGAAAATAGGATAGAAATCTTTGTAGATTATGTAAAATCACTGATGATGACATTTTTTTAGGTGTTTTTGGGCCGGAGAAATGACGATCTTTGACACCTGGACCAGGGAAGAAAGGTCCTGGACGGCCAAACGCTGGGCCTTCTAGAATTGCAAATAGCCTGGGCCGTCTTTCTGGCCATTTTTTTAAGACGGTCCCCTTTGTCCTCAATATTTTTTTCGTTGTATTCTATAAATAATTTAAATATATAATAATAAATAATAAACATTTAAGTAATAAATAAATGATTATTTAAATAATAAATAAAAAATGTAAATAATGAATAAATGTTAATAATCAAAATATGTAATTAAAATTTAATTAAAATAAATTTCTAACATTTAATATAAATAATAAATATTTAAGTTTACTTGTTCAATAAATAATTTAAATAATCAATCAATATAAATAATTAAATCAAATAATTTAAATGAACAATTGAAACAAATAAATGAAAAACAATTGGAATAAATAATTAATTTAAATGCAAAAAAATAAATAATGAACATTTGAATAACAAATAAACGATTATTTAGATGATAAATAAAAAATGTAAATAATGAATAAATGTTAATAATCAAAATATGTAATTAAAATTTAATTGAAATAAATTTCTAACAATTAAAATAAATAATTAAATATTTACGTTTACTTGTTCAATAAATAATTTAAATAATCAATCAATATAAATAATTAAATCAACTAATTTAAATGAACAATTGAAACAAATAAATGAAAAATAATTGGAATAAATATAAGCAAAGTAAGTAATTAAAATGTAGATAAACAATTGAAATAAATATCTAACATTTAAAATAAATAATTAAATATTCAATTAATAATTAAAATAAATATTGAATAAACAACCAAAGAAAAATATAACAAATAATTGTATATTTATGTTTAAATGTTCAATAAATAACTTAATGAAAATAATTAAATAAAAAATTATAAAAAATAATTAAAATTAAGCATTCAATAAACAATTAAAATAAATGTTAAATAAATAAATAAACAATTTAAATAAATAATTTAAATTAACAATTTAAATAAATAATAAACAATTTAAATAACTAAGAAATATAAATATTCAAAATAATTTATTTAAATAATTAATTAAATATAAATAATCAAAGTTAAATAAATAAATAATTGAAATAAATAATAAAGAATTAAAATAAACTATGAAATAAAAAATTTTACAAAAATAAGTTTTTCGCTTTTTATAATTTGTTGTCTAATTTTTTAAGTCATTTTCTGTATTATTTGTTATTTCGTGCATAAATTATTTACAGTTCGATTAGTTGAATTTTATGACGTTATGTTTCAAATGTTCTAACACTTGAAATTTTGTAAGATGGATCACCATTTGGATGCCGCCTTAAGACAGGTTCCTGGCAAAGTTACATTGAACTGTGTGCCAGTTTCACAGCAGTGTGGGATTCATTGGACGAGGAGCACTTAGAGATATTACGTCGATCCTGCCTATGACCCCTGAATTCGCTGCGCTTTGTACAATTTTCTGGACAGTTGATCAATTCATTACTATGTCGACTGTTTAAACTAGTTGACGGAGATGCCCTTCAATTTAATCTTGTGGGCAAGGTTGCTATATTTTTCATATTTGAGTTTGCCCTCATCACTAGATTGAGATGTAGGGCGAAGAGGCAGCGAGCGCCAGTATTCTGACAGACAAGAGGCTGCTAAATGATTATTTTAATGGGCACACGATAGTGACACTAGCGTAGTTAAGAGATGCATTCAGGGGATGTGACCAGATATCCGACAAGTTGAAGTTGGGGATGGTGTTTATATTCAAGAACATACTGATGTGTCATCACAGGAAGACGTCGATTGACGGATTTCATTTGCAAGTTGTTGATGACATCAATACGTTCAACAGCTATCCATGGGGCAGAGATGCTTTGTCGATATTTTACGCGTCTTCAAGAAAGGGCATTCGATGCCTAGAGGAGATAGGCCGGAGCGTAAGTACGATGTATATGGCATGCCGTTAGCTTTGCAGGTAAATGTTTAACAAATGAGTTATCTATTTTTTTTTATTGAATTGTAAATATAATAATCGTAATTGTTGCGGATATGGGTCTACGAGACTGTCCTCATCCTGGTTGGCTGGTATGCGAGGAAAGGGGATACATGCATCCCTTGGATGCACCGCTGGTGAGCACAAGACAAGCCCCTTGCAAAACAATTATCGGTTATCCTCGACGATCCTGAGGTACGTATTATACATTTGCGTTTTCTGTTGTATGTCATTTTTGAAATCTTGATATGTGGTCAGTAATTCGATGAAATGTCGATATGTCAGCTTGAAGTCCTCACTGAACTGACACCATCGATCGAGAAGGAGGATTAGACTTATATCCATGAGTTGTTGACAAGTCGTCCTGCTCGAGAGAAGCCTGAGTCTATCGTCGATCGGGACACCGCATGTTAATTGAATATAATATGTTGATTATCATTATAATTTTTTAATTAAATTATTCATTTGTAATGTTTATTTTTTTAGGAGCGTCGTCGATTATTACCTCCGTCGAGGGTGCCACATTCCCCGAGAATGTCGCCTCCCCCGAGGTGTCACCTCCCTATATGAGATCACCTCCGCCGAGAGTGTTACCTCCCTATATGAGATCACCGTCTCCTACGTCCGGACACCTCCCACGTGGAACTGCTACACGTAGTCAGAATGCTTCTATCAATGATATGTTTCGACTTATGATGAAGATCAGAGGCGATGTAGTTGACTTACGAGGTGAAGTAGCTGACTTACGGCGTGATGTCGGGATGGTACAAGTGGGTTTAGGAGACCTTTATGCCGAAATCGTAGCGATACGGGGTGACATAGTAAGCCTGCGTGGGACTGGCGGGTATCAGGGTGGGACTGGCGAGTATCGGGACAGAGGGGGTGACGGAGGGACAAACGGCTATCGGGACGGAGGGGCCGGTGGTTATCAAGGCCGACGGGGTCAAATGGGGTATGTTGACTCGTTATGGGCATTGAATGATACATTAGTTTCATATTTCGGCGTCCCGATGGAGATGGAGATGGAGATGGAGGATCAGGCCCTGATGGAGAAGAAGGCGGAGGGAGCACCCGAGGCAGAGAGGGTACTAGAGGAGGAGGTCATGAGTGTGTCAGAGGATGAGGGGGCACCCGAGACGGAGGTCGAGAGGGTGCCGGAGGAGGAGGTCGTGAGGGCGTTAGAGGAGGAAGGGGTACCCGAGGCAGAAAGGGTACCATCTCGGATGCCAACTAGCCGGACGTAGTTTTTGCGTCGAAGGGGACGAAAGAGGCAGTCCCGATGGTAGGTGAGGGGATACCGAAGATCGGGAGGGTGTTGCGTGCTGTTGACGTGCCGGAGCTGGTGGTCGGCAAGAGGCCGAAAGCGCCATCACAGTACGTTGTTTCTCCGTTTACCGCAGAGACGAAGAGGAGGAGGTTCTTCGACGACACGCATCCCAATTTATTCAGGGAGGTGGATCACGCCAAGTGGAAAGCGTTCCAGACGGAGTGGAGAGTAATTACGCCCGGGTAAGTATTGTATTATTCGTTAAGGATTAGTACATTACGCAGACGCTGACACATCTATACTTTTACTTAACAATTTCTTTTCTTATTTTTCAGAGCCAGACGCAGGATTGCTCACAAGACGATTGCGGAGGCTGACAAGTGGTTTCACGACATCACTACTTCGGGGGCTTGGCTCGCCGACGATGTAAGTGAAGTAGTAATATAGTTATTTATTACATATGCATATTTTTTAGTTTTGAATTTATGAAATTAAATAAGTCCTTTTTTAATTGGTGTTTTCTGATGCAGCATATTGACTTCGCCATGGATTTGCTATGAGATTGAGCTAAAAGACATCTGAGATCGTTCAACATTTTTGGTCGACTCATATTGAACACTGAGTTCATACATGTCATTGACATTGAGTACTAGACGCTCCAAACTATGGGTAGTGAGTACACGATACCTACATACATGAAGGAGTGGGTCGTAGGGATGTGGCCAAGTGTCGGGGAAAAGCCATGGGAGGGTTGTACGCATCTGTACATCCCGGTGTGTGTGAATCATCACTATATTACAGTGGAGACTGTATTCGCCGACTCGACTATGTATGTGTATGACTCCGATCATTCATACCTGACACAAGATCATCTCGAGCAAAATTTGAAGTCGGTATCTGTTATCGTCCCCATGCTGGCTAGACGAGCGAACATTACTGTGCATGACAGACTGGCCACCATATAGGACATGACGACGGCGAGACAGCAAACATCTTAAGTGTTTTGTTATTTTATTTTTTAATTTACAACTTACGTTCTAGTTAGACGGTGACGTGCTAATACAATATTTTGTAATTGTATGAGTGAATGCGGCATGTTCGTCATCAAGTACATAGAATTTTTGAATGTAGCACAGAAGGTTGAAACAATCAACTAGACGTGATACAAATTTAGAGAAATAAATTAGCTTGTGATTTATTTGAATTTAATGGTGATCTGTAGATATTAAAGCCGTATTTTTTTAAAATAATTGTACATATTGTAACGTTTTAACATTGTATATTTCATTCATTCATTCATTTGTAATTACGAAATAATTATAAAATGTATATTATTTTTCTAATATTTAATTTTTATTTTGTAGTTTATTTGTGTATTTAAATGTTTCATGACGTATTTATAATGTTTTAGTATATTGTGGAGAACACACCGTGTTTTAAAAAAAACTTCAAATCCTACAAA